CTACTTGTTTATTTTGGAGCATTTATTCAAATTGAATAGAAGCCTATGTGCCTCACAGAATATTTAGAAAAAGAAAACTTCAGCCACCAGGCATTGAGGAGATCCGTACTCCTACAAATTCAGCATCAGTAGTGGAGTACCTAAAAATGTCAATCACTAGGCAACAGAAACTTTGAGAGCATGTTTTTTATGTCTGAAGGACTCAGTAGGATCCATGAGGAATCTGAGTGTGAATTATAATCAAAAGATTAAATGAAAAGTGGCTTGATGTCATTTTGAGGTTTAGGAGATAATAGTTTTATGAACCAGCCATTATTTCTCTCAGAGAAAAAAGTACACTGCATTTTCAACAGTGTAAATATTTATGGATCATATCAAAACATCATATACTCCCAGAATTTATTATAAAATGTCACTCTATTCAGCTCATACCCTGACCACTTCTTTACTGGAAAACAAATCATTAATTTTAAAAGAAGGAAATGAAGAGAGCATGTGTAAGAAAGAAAACTAGAGGTGGACTAATTCAATCCTAATGCTTTTTATTTAAGATGTATGAACATACTGGGGAAAAGTTTTAAATGAAGTTCCCAAACACTTAATATGAGCAACAACAGAAGCAAAACCTCTTCCTTCTTGGAGCTAATGGTCTAAATGGGTGGTAATTTCTGAAAGTATCAGAGCCATTTTAAAAAATAAAATGAAGTAATGGGATAGACTTCTTTGGCTACTCTAGGTAGGAAGGTTAGGGATGGCCTCTCCACACAGCTGAGAATGGAATTGAACCTGGATTATTCAAGAGACTCAGCCACATGATGATGTAAGAGAAGAATGGTGCAGGTAGAAGAGCAAATGCAAAGACTCTGTGGGAGAAACAAGCTTGACCGTTTGAGGGGCAAAACAACAAAAAACAAGTCTGTCTGGAGTATACAGGGAAAGGAGGGAGTCAAAAAAGAAAACAGAGGTGCACAACGCTTTTCTTGCTCATTGCTATGTATTCACCTACATAGAACCATGCTTGGCTCATGATTGGCACTTAATACATTTATGTGGAATGAATTAATAAAGTTGGAAAGATTTAAGCTAGACAATGTCTAAGTTCCACTAGGGCAGGAACCAGAATGTGTAGTGGTTTACAGGGCAGGGTTAGAGGAGTGTAGATTTTTTTCTCATTGCAAGGGAAAGTCTTTGGAGTGTTTTAAGCATGGAAATTGTGCATTCACATTTATACTTTGAAAACATCACTCTTGCTACTGTGTAGAGAACACAGTGTAGAGAAGACAATATGGGGTTTCCAGCAGGAGGAAGCTCTTTTTAAATGACCACATTTGAGTGTACCGTCTATAGCCTGCTGGAAACGCTGTATCTTAATCCATTCCAGCTGCTAAAACAAAATACCATAGGCTGAGTAGCTTATCAATGACAGAAGTTTATTTCTCACAGTTCTGGAGGGTAGAAAGTCCAAGGTCAGCGTGCTGGAAGTTTCAGTGTCTGGCGAGAAACCTCTTTCTGGTTTATAGATGGTGCTCTCTGGCTGTGTCCTCACATGATGGAAGGGGCAAGGCAGCTCTCTGGAACCTCTTGTATGAGGATATTCATCCCATTCTTGAGGGTTCCCCCCTCAAGACCTAATCACCTCCCACATGTTCTCACCTCCTAATGCTATCACCTTGGGAACTGGGATTTCAGCATGTGAATTTAGGGAGTGGCAGGGAGGACACAGACCTTCAGACCAAAGCACCAGTAAAAGGCAAGAGATGATGGATTATGGTATACTGATTTATTATTTATTTTAGAAGTACAGCTTACATGTTTTGTAAGTAAACCTGATCTTATTTGGCCAAGAACTGGATGCCAGGGGAAGGGTGGTAAGAAAAAGGAAAAACTTGAGGGCTTAAGTTTTTGCCCTGGATGTGGCACAATTAAATGAATGGGGAAGACTGAGAGAGAAGTAGGTTGGGAATGAGGTTGGCGGGGCAGCATTAAAAGTTCCATTTTAGGCATGTTTAAATCAAGATGCCTATTTGTATTTAAGTGGAAATGCTGAGTAAGCATAGAGGAGAAGTCAGAGCTTAAAATTAAAATTGTTGATTTATCAGCACAAACTTCTTTCTTTCTGACAATTGTGGTTTCAGAAAAATTACATAAAGTTCATGGAAGAATCTTAGTAATTCACAGAATGGAAAGTATTGTTGAAAATATAGTCCCAAAATTTGGCAAATCCTTAGGAGTCAGTAATCCACATGGTTGTCTACTTATAAAAAGAATGAATGAACAAGAAAAGTTTATAACTAATCTGATTATAATATAACTGGTTGGTTTGATGTGAGAATTTGACAACAATAAGAGAAGGTCGAACCTAAAAAATTATGCAAAAGACTGTAAAACTAAATTTAAAACCTTAGTTATCCATAGCAACAGGAGGAATATCCTAGTCAAATGGAAATCTTAGCCACTAATTTCAGTTTCTCCCAAGTACCAACTTCAATTCAATGCTACAAATTTTTATTGATAACATTCACAGGAGGCATTATTCTAGGCAGTGTGGGTACAAAATGAGTTAAAGAAGTGAAATCCTTTAATGTCTTATTAAATCACTACTAAATTAGAGCTAAAATTTAAATTTGCTTCTTCAATACATGAAAAGTCCACAGAGTCACTGAAATGAGCCACAGAGAAGACAAAGGTTTAGGCCAGTCACTTGAATCATTAGCTCTGAGACCATAAATTTTTTTCTTAATCAAGCCGAAAAGACACACTAGAAAAGCCCTTAGAAGGATCTGGTAGGACCTGTGACAAGTGACAAGTGGTCTAGCTTCATGGCATCGCCTAAGAGCTTTGTTCAAATGTTGCCTCTCAGAAATCAAAGAGTTTAGGGAGAACATATTTCCAGGGTCACCAGAATTTAGATGAATTACTTTAAATTCTGCTTCCCAACCTGAATCATGGGCTGGCTCTTGCCAGTCAGGGATAGTCGCAGGAGGGAAAGCTAAGAATTGAATTGCAAAGCCCAGGTGTGTGAGAGAGTAAGACCAGGCTCTTGGGAGGCTTAGTGCTGATCAGGCTGAGAGCCGTCCTTATGAAGCAATAGTCAGATTACTCCACACTGGGTCTGCAAGCACACAGGAGTTGCTTCTCTCCACAGAGGAGGGAAGCTGAGTTTGGACTTGTTGTCCAGCTGTGCCCAGAGCATGGTGTCCAGTAGGAGCTCAGTAAATGTTGTGATAAATAGCAAGAAACCAATTCTAGCCCCTGTGTGGCCTTCACTGGGTTGCTTACCTCTCTGAGCCTCAGCTTTTTTTTTTTTTTTTTTTTCTGTAAAGTGGAAATAAGACCTAGCTTGTAGGTACCTGGAACCCACCTCCTAGAATTTCTGATTTGCTGGGTCTGAAGTGAGGCCCAGGCGTCGGTACTTTTTCAAAGCTCCCCAGGAGACCTTGACGTGCATGCAGGGTTGAGACCACTGAGTAAGAAGGTGAAAGCTGGGCTGCAGTAATGTTCTGACTGTACACAAGGACACTGGTATCACCTCATAATCTTGACTGCCGGCAAAAAACACCAGAGCCATTCTGGGTACAACTCACTAAGCAAAGACCACCGTGGGTTCTGAGAGGGGCACTCCTCCAGCAGAGCAGGTCCTTGAGCACAAACTCTCAGGCTTTCTAAGCCCAGGCTTGGTCTCTCAGCAAGCCCAAAAGCAGCAAGCTCATGACAAGAGACTATTCTGGAAGAAATCAGCAGGCTCTGATTTTTACAATAAAATATCCCCAGCACAGAGTAGTCACAGGTGGAACTCTTTGCCAGGGTTACGTCCGACGGAAAGTGACAGAAAACCCAAAAAACATTGGCTTAAAAAAGATAGAAAAGTTGAGAGGGGGCAGGGTGCAAAAAAAAAAGATAGAAAAGTCTTCTTCTCTCACATAAACACAGGCAGTCCAGAGTGGGTATGGTGGCTTCACAGTCAGGAAACCAGATTTCTAATTTTTTGCTTATGACAGCCCAAGATGAAAGCTTACATTTCAGACATCACGTTCACATTCCAGCCAGCAGGGAAGAGAAAAAGAAGGGAAGAGATGCCACACTCTCTTCGTGGGTACTTCCCTGAAAGCACACACAACCCTTCCTTTATATCCCATTGGCCAGCATTTAGTCAAATGGCTGTGTCTACCTTCAACGGAGATTGGCAAATATCGTCTTTATGCTGAAATGTCATATGCCTAGTGAAAAGCTGGGGATTCCTTTGCTCTGAAAAGGAAGGGATACGCATTTGAAAATAGCCAACAGTCTGTGCTTCAGGGGTCCTCCCTCCCACTTCATGACCCTGGATCATAACTATTCAGTTACATGTAAGCAATGTGCTTTATTGGGGTTCCTCTGAAAACCACTGACATGAGGCCATTTTTCTTGCATTCCAAATTTCAGTGGCTCTGGCCCCCACTGCCCTAAGAAAACATCAATCCTGCAAGAAAAGTATTCCAGGGGGCTTCTTAAGAAAACCAGACCCTAAATCTGATGCCCATTCAGTGTGGTAGAGTGCCTTCACTTAGCGAAAGGACTGTCTTTTCTGCAAATTAATTTCTCCAGATTTATACCGATGGCAGGAGCTCTCTCCTGTTCATTCTGGAAGCAGCAGAGATGATTTTCCCTGGATCATAAATATGCTGAACACTCTATTATACTAACCTTTTAAACCAGTTGTCTTGGATGGGGCTGCAAATCATAGTTCAGGAGCCACTTTCTAAGATTTAAAGGCCCCAGAAATTCCTGGATACTCTAGTTAAATACCTGGGATTAAGAGTGGAGAGGGTAGATCTTGCCACAAAATTCACCTCAAAGTGAAGAAACAAAATCCTTTGGACCAATTCCTGGTTTTTTTCTTTTTCTGCTTTTTTTTTTTCTTTTTCCTTTACTCTTCCAAACTAAGGTAAGAATTAGCAGTTAGACAAACTGCCTTCCCATATAGGATCTACTTTTTTTTCCTTCCGTCTTTCCTTCCCCAGTGTTCCAGAACGTGTGGCGGGGGTGTTCAGAAACGCGAGGTTCTTTGCAAGCAGCGCATGGCTGATGGCAGCTTCCTGGAGCTTCCTGAGACCTTCTGTTCAGCTTCAAAACCAGCCTCCCAGCAAGCATGCAAGAAAGATGACTGTCCCAGTGAGTGGCTTCTCTTGGACTGGACAGAGGTATGTGTGTTCCTCGGGAGAGAATAAAAGACACCCAAGTAGGAAAAGAAGGCACCACAAACATATACATAGAAAAGGCAAGAAGAAAACAAAACAATCCTCCTAACATTATGGAACAGTATTTTTGTAACCATATGCACCATAGTGTGTAACTAGCTTTTAACGAGGCTGCAGGGGCCCGAGTTACGCAGCCAGCACTTAGCCAGCAATCGGAAGCTTGGAATTGTAAATGGGCTCCTTGTGGAACAAAACCAGACCTCGTTGGTGCTGTTTTGGCCCAGAATTGTTTTCCACACACTGGGTTCTTCTCCTTCTAGCTCCATACCACCCCTCCTCCTGACCTCCCTGTACCTCCTCCCAGATGTTTCTAGTCTCTATTCAGGAAGGGCAAAGCCTCTCTAGCACGTCTCTTCCAAGTTATTGGACAATAAAGGACATGATTTATTAGGAAAAGAAGGCCAAGGAAATCCTGCCTGTTTACTGTTAGTTTCCTGGCTCTAAAAATCTTCAACAACTTCCCAGCAAGAGAATTTGATTTCCCTTGCTGCCCTACACTTTGGGAAGTGATTGCGTCAGCATTCACCATTTGTGACTTTATCTCCTAAGTTAGAGACATACCTCTAACTAACCTATCTTTCTAAATCATGCCTCTTCTGTTTCGGGTGTCTGCTGATTCATTTACACCTAGCTTCAAGTCATTTGTTTTCAGCCACGATCACTTCCTTGAGTTGCCTTCGATTCTCCAGCTCCATATGCCTGTGTGTCTTCCATGGAGAAATCCCCTCAAAATTGTTGCCTCACAAGCAGATTTAGCCTAGAACAGAATTGCTAGACCTGAAGTGAAAATTTCTGTAAAGCCAGATTAAGACTTTCCTTTTTCTAGCATATAAGCATTTGAATGGGCCTTCCTAACCCCACTGCCTTTTTTTTGTATAGTATACAACTCAACAGGAGGGAGCTGCTGCTGATTGAAATACCTCACAGAGATACTTGCCTACAGAGGGCAAAGCTGCCTGTGAAAATTAAGATCCAGCTCTCTCAACATAGGTTCTTAGAATTCTTGCCCATATCTATCAACCCGCATAGAAGTCTATGAGATGGTGCCTGCTACGTGCATTGCAATTAAAAGTTAACTTACGTTACCACAGGAGGTTTTATAATTTGGCAGTAAAATTGCTTCCTGTGGTATCTCACCCCAAATATCTCAGAACATTTGGGGAATTATTTTCTCATGTTTTGGAAAGAAATTTGATTTCAGCAAGATAAAAGATTAAAAGTGTATAAAATGAGCATGTGTATATTTGTATTTGTGCACGTGCATGTTAGTGACAATTTTTCCATGGGAACGTTGATTTGGGATATGGCATTTGAAGAACACCGATGTATTTGCCAAGTGGCTCTAGATGAAAACATTCTCCCAGTGCAGTGTTATAAAAGGAATTGCTCCCCCAAGCCTACCAGCTGATAGTCCATCATGAGTGGGCTGCTGAGGAAGGGGCTTGTGTGTATTATAATTGTCTTCCTGTGTTCCTGGAGTTTGTGGCCTTTGAAGTACATGAGACACAGAGGATTCAGAAAAAGTTCTTTTCTGCCTGCAGATTTGAGAGGGACCCTTGAGATTTTGGACTAAGGAAAAGTTCCCACTGGTCCCATTAAGTACCGTAGGCCTTCAGAACAGTACTAGCGCAATGTGTTGTTAAGAGTCCAGACTCCTCAAAGACAGGCAAACCTAGGTCCGAATCTGACTCTGCCACTTACTGGCTATATAACCTTGAGCTAATTACTTAACCTTTTTGGTCTTAGGTTGCTTATCTGTATAACGGAGATACAATAGCATCCATCATGTAGGTGGGAGGCAGAAATTAAATTTAATATATATTGCATGTAAAATACTTTGTGCCTACTAAAAGTTAACCCTCATGATTCTCTTCCATTTGGGCTCACTTATCATGAGAAGGAAAGGAAATAAAAGGAAGCACTCACCATGGCTGGCTGGGCCTGAGGCCACAGCTTAGGTCTCCGACAGGCTCTCCTGGTCTTCCTCAAGAGAATGTTATATTTTGGGAACTGGGAGGAGTTAACTCTTATCCAAGGAATGTTACTAGGTTCTGAACTATCTGGATTAATGAATGTAAATTCCAAACATTTGGGGTGGGGCTGGGCATGGTGGGAAGTAATCCCTGAATCGCTGGGATTAAACTCACACTGGTGCCCTATTGAAGCGCTCCTGGAGGTGTTCACAAAGGCTCCGCATTGGCCCTGTCATCCTCATGACCATTCCCCTGGCCCCCTGGCTGAGATGAGATGTGCATTCCACATCTCCCATGAGACTGCTCTTGGAGAAGGGAAGACCTAGATGATCTGCGGGTGTTTTTCATCCTCAACTATCTGGGCTCAATCTCATAGTTACTGCACAGAATCCCACAGAGATGGAATTAAACCAAAGTTTTACAATTTCAAATAAAATTACTTACAGATTCTATTTTTGAAGTTAAGACCTCTCAAAAGGGCATACTTCTTTTCCTTAAAAGAAATCCTCAATCTCCTGAAAGACTTGGATATTAAATATTTTTAAATCCTATTTTATGGAAGTTGCTCCTTCTCCTGCCAAAAATGTCTTAAAAATAGTCAATTTTAGAGCTAGAAGCAGCTTGAAAGATCCTATAGCCTAATTACTTTGTTAAAAAACTAAAACCACAGAATGCTTTATCAAATGAAATGTTACTATGAAGTCAAAAATCTTAAACATAAAATTAGAGCTGTTTTGGTTTAAGTGTGAGTAGTGATCTCAGTTATCCAACAGTTGGGTCTCCTCATTACCTGAGAAGCCCCTGAATTACTACTTTCTCAACATAGTTACGGAATACAGTTTTAAAATCCCTGCTCTAGCTTAACTTCCTTATTCCAGAGTTACAGAACTTGAAGCTAGAGAAAGAGCTAGACTTGACAAAAGTCATAACCCAATCTTCTGACCCAAAACTCTGGTTTTATGTTTCTACTTTGCAGCCTCAAAACAACTATGCTTTTTAAATTTTTCAGGCTTCTTACCTCCATCCCATCTGATCCTTGGATTTGGCACTGTCATTTGCAATAAAATAAGGAATATGTGGAATCTGGAACCCATAATTGTCAGACTATAAAAGCAATGGGTTTGATTCTCATCTCCATCTTCTGCATCTTAAATATCTTTCAGGGTGGCATCACACAGAATACTGTCACTTCAGCATGTTAGGATATAACATTTGAAAATATAAGATCATTTTTTCTTTTTTTTTTACTGTCATTTTTCAAGTTAACGTGACGCACTCCTGCAACCCTTATTCAGGCCTTTATCATCGCAAGCCTGGAGATGACAGCCTCCTTCCCCGACGCCCTACCTTCCATTCATCTCCTGCTTGCATCCCTTCTGTACACTGTTGCCAGATTAACCCTCTCCAAATGCCTCTTTCATCACGTCACCGCCCTCTTCAGTGGCTTTCCACTGCCTTATGGACCAATTACAAACCTCTTGTCTGAAAACTAAAGGTCTTCAAAGTCTGGCTCCAAACTAACCCTCAATCTCCTGACACTTCCACCTTGAGGCCTCTGTTCTGTCAAACTGTTCTGTCCCATGCCTGCCTTGGGACTCCTACACTGAACTTTTCTATGTTTTTTCTGGATATTTCCCTGTCTCCCATCTGATCCCTGTTTCTCCACCCAGATTCCAACCATCTTCAAGACCTTGGTGAGGAGATGCCTAGTGTACTATAAGCATTCAATTATTGTTAGCATTATTTTTATACTACTTGGTCTTCTAATTGTATATTTTTACTAAATTCTGTAATTACAATTCTATAAACAGCTTTATTGAGGTCTGATTTACACATTATAGAATTTGACTTAGCATGTTTTAAGGTTTATGCATGTTATAGCACATAAAAGAACTATATTTTTAATGGCTGAATAATATTCCCCTGGATAGGTATGGCATGTTTTGTTTATTTAATCATCAGTTGATAGCCATTGGGTGATTTTCAATTATGAGTCATACTGCTGTGAATATGTGCATACAAGTCTTTGTGTAGATGTATGTTTTTGTCTCTCCTGGGTAGATACCCAGGAATAAAATTGCGGTTGCGTTGGTAGCTGTTTGAAGGCTGCTAACTAGAAACATAAAAACAGTTTCAGGTCAGAAGATTGGGTTACGACTTTGGTCAAGTCTAGCTCTTTCTCTAGCTTCAATGTCTATATCTCTGGTTAAGGAAGTTAAGCTAGAGCAGGGATTTTAAAACTGTGTTCCATAACTACGTTAAGGAAGTGATTCAGGGGCTTCTCGGGTGATGAAGAGACCCAATCCTCTCATGGTAAATTTACGTTTAACTTTGTAAGAAACCCAATCTGTTTTCTAAGGTGGCTGTATCATTTTACTTTCCCACCAGTAATGAGTGAAACTGCCAATTTTTCATATCCTCACCAACACTTGCTATTGTCTTTTTTTTTTTTATGATGGCTGTTCTAGTGGCTATGAAGTGTTATCTCGTGGTTTTGACTTAGATTTCCCAAAAGAACTATTTCATTTTAACATTGGAATTTTCCCCTCATTTGAATGACAGCTCATTGGGGTTAGAAACTCTCTTGCACATCTTTTCTTCATAACTTCCAGCACACTACTTAGACAAAGTAGATTCTTAACAGTTAAGTAATTCTTGACACAAAAATATTGTCATTTATTTGTGAAGGAAGGAAAAGGAATTAATAATAATTGTCATTTCTATGTATGGCATTCAAACTATATTATCTCACTTAATTCCCAGGCTTGCAAACTAAGCATAAATGGGAACAGACTCAGAGAATTTAGGTGACTTGCCAACTAGTGAAATACTGAGTTGGGATTTAAACACTCTACAACTCGCTAACTCTGAAGCCCAGGCTATATAAGTAAAATAGATAAAATGTCTTCAGGAAACCTCAGAGTAGAAAATCTTAGAGTGCAGTATGTCTACAAAATGGGGATGTCTTCCACATCATTACCTCATAATTTGTATTTCTATCTCAGTGGCTATTGCTTTTCCAAGCAACTTTTCTCATATTTTGATGAGTTTGAGAGTCTACTTAAAAATTATCTTCTAGTTTCCTGAATTTATGTGCATTTGGCCCTTTCTCTGACAGTGTTCCACAAGCTGTGGGGAAGGCACTCAGACTCGAAGTGCTATTTGCCGAAAGGTGCTGAAAACCGGGATCTCAACTGCTGTCAATTCCACCCTGTGCCCGCCCCTGCCTTTCTCTTCCTCCATCAGGCCCTGTATGCTGGCAACCTGTGCAAGTAAGTATGTCAGGGCTTGGGGGATGGGGAGATGAAACCCAAACAGCAGCAGGTATAGCCACTACGCTATGGCCTTCCCTAAACCCAACACCTGGGGGAAATAGTGGGACAGTAGAACCCCCTGGAGGGCTGCAGGCAGGAGAGCTCAGCTGGAGACAGAAAAGGAATCTTAATTACGGGTGGCCAGGCCGAATTCTCTCCTCCCCTGGAAAAACAGTTTGCAGGGGGTAGAGCAAAGTTCACTTGCTGGCATACAGAGATCTGGAAGCTGGAGGCAGCATAGTACTAATGATGTCTAATGTTAGCCACTCTGGGGTTTTAAACAACTCTAAACAGATTTGTCCTGATTACTATTAATTCCTAGAGCCGCAACACTTCTGGGCTCTCCTCACCAGGTCCTTTAGGGCTCTGGTGCCTTGCAGGACCCAAAAGGTAAACATTTAAAGGAGGACATTCTCCTCTTTGTCCTCTGCATCTTTTATGGTGCTAATTTATTGTTTAAAAATTCTTTTAATGAGAGAAAGTGCCTTTCCCCTGGGTTCCCCCCTCCATTTAGAACTCCGAATCTCAGCTTCTAGGGGCAACAAGGCCCAGCAGGGAGACGCTGGGTTGCCCACCGCATCTCATTAGTTCTGATTGTGGTGGCAGCTTGATGGTCCACAGCTGGGCGCGAGGTTCTCCTGAAAAACACAGGCAGTAAAGGATGGCCCTGGCCAAAATAAACCCTGAAGAACGCCTTCTCTCCCGTCCCTCCGATGCCTCCATCTCTCTCTCTCTTCTTCACTCTGGCCCTTTCATCTGCCCCTCTTTCCTGGCTGCATCTCACTCTGGGTTTTCTCTGTCTCCCCACCTTTCTCTGTCCCTTCGGCTTCACTCTCCTTCCAGGGCCCGGACGGCCGTCCACGAAGCACAGCCCGCACATCGCGGCCGCCAGGAAAGTCTACATCCAGACTCGCAGGCAGAGGAAGCTGCACTTCGTGGTGGGGGGCTTCGCCTACCTGCTCCCCAAGACTGCAGTGGTGCTACGCTGCCCCGCGCGCCGGGTCCGCAAGCCCCTCATCACCTGGGAGAAGGACGGCCAGCACCTCATCAGCTCCACGCACGTCACGGTGGGCCCCTTCGGCTACCTCAAGATCCACCGCCTCAAGCCCTCGGATGCGGGGGTCTACACCTGCTCCGCGGGCCCGGCCCGGGAGCACTTTGTAATTAAGCTCATCGGAGGCAACCGCAAGCTCGTGGCCCGGCCCTTGAGCCCGAGGAGTGAGGAGGAGGCGCTCGCGGGGAGGAAGGCCGGCCCGAAGGAGGCCCTGCAGACCCACAAACACCAGAACGGGATCTTCTCCAACGGCAGCAAGGCGGAGAAGCGGGGCCTGGCCGCCAGCCCGGGGAGCCGCTACGACGACCTCGTCTCCCGGCTGCTGGAGCAGGGCGGCTGGCGCGGAGAGCTGCTGGCCTCGTGGGAGGCGCCGGACTCGGCGGAAAGGAACGCGACCTCGGAGGAGGACTCGGGCGCGGAGCAAGCGCTCCTGCACCTGCCCTTCACCGTGGTGACCGAGCAGCGGCGCCTGGACGACATCCTCAGGAACCTCTCCCAGCAGCCCGAGGAGCTGCGCGACCTCTACAGCAAGCACCTGGTGGCCCAGCTGGCCCAGGAGATCTTCCGCAGCCACCTGGAGCACCAGGACACACTTCTGAAGCCATCGGAGCGCAGGACTCCCCCCGTGGCGGTCTCGCCTCATAAACACGTGTCTGGCTTCAGCAGCTCCCTGCGGACCTCCTCCGCCGGGGATGCCGGGGGCGGCTCTCGCAGGCCGCACCGCAAGCCCACCATCCTGCGCAAGATCTCCGCGGCCCAGCAGCTCTCAGCCTCGGAGGTGGTCACCCACCTGGGGCAGACAGTGGCCCTGGCCAGCGGGACACTGAGTGTTCTTCTGCACTGCGAGGCCGTCGGCCACCCAAGGCCTACCATCAGCTGGGCCAGGAATGGAGAAGAAGTTCAGTTCAGTGACAGGTGAGCCTTGTAACTAACCTGGTCTTGGGAGGGAGGCAAGAGACCACATCTAGCCCAAATCACACTATTTACACAGTCTTCAAGGTGTTTCAGGAGTAGATCTTAGAGCTGGCCTCGGGGATCCCATCATGGGGTGCAGGCCCTCTCTCAGCACTGATAGACTATTGGAGCAAAGACAAACTATTTCATTTTTCTAAGCTGTCGGTTCTCATCCTTATAAGAGACTAGCAACACTGCCTACCCACCCCCATCCCTGTAGGATCCCAAAGATGAATGAGATACTCTCTGGATAGCTTTGAACTTTTGGCAGAAAGACATCATTCCAGGCCAAGGCATTATTATGTTACTATTCTGTAAGATGAACCATGGAAAAGCCTGGATACTGGGACACTGCCTCCGTGTGTGTGGTCCCCAGGGCTGGGCAGAGAATGCAGCCAGCACCTGCTGTTTCCCATGGGTGAGCACCTCCTGTGTCTGGGCTGAACAAAGCTGTTTGTTGCAGAAAGCTTTTATTCCCAGTTGGGCCTGTGATTAATTATCGTAATATCTCCTGTCATCTCTGTTTTGATGTGTCATTATCAGGATGACAGCATGTATCACTTACTAGTCTCTTTGGGCCAAAGCCATTTATAATGTAAAACCAATAGTGGTAGTAGAATTAATGTTTTTTACCACTACCTGTGCCATGCTTTCTACATATTTTGTCTCTTTTAATCTTTACAGGGGCTCTGGCAATGAACATAGTTGTCATTAATTGAGTAGTGACTATCTGCCAGGCAAATGTAAACTCTTTATTTGTTTATCTCACTGAATAGAAGTGGATACAGTTTTTACCTACACTTTATAGAAGAGGAAACACATAAAGTTAAGTAACTTACTGAAGGTCTTATTTATTAGGCATCAGAGCTACCATATGTAACAAAAAAAGAACTTCCCTGTGGGTAGTCACTTTAAAGAATCACGGAATCAAGATCCTCTAGTCTAGATTCCTCATTTTAACCATTTATCTTCTCTGAATCCAAGCATAATGCTCTTTTCATTAAGTCTACATCTAAATGCTATTGTTTCACTAATCCTCTTCTCTGGCTTGCTAGCTGTTGGTAAGGAAGGAAAGAAGCCAGCGTTTATTGTTCCAGGCACTGTGCCAGGTTTATTTATAAGTAACTGCATTTTTTATTCCAGTAGTCAATCCACAAGATTGACATTAACCTCCAGTTTTATGTAGAAAACCAAGGTTCAGCAGCTCACCCAAGATCATACTTCAGTAAGAGCTGAAACAAGTGTTCAATATCAAGTTTATTTCATTACAAGGAAGAGTTCTGTCTACTCTTCTGAGACTGGGTGAACAGACATATAATAACTTTTGTCCATCCTGCGCACATCATTTTTTTTTGCCTTTGAAATGTCAATAATACTGCCTCTCAGCCTTAGTACTTATAGACCAAATAGCTTTGATAGCAATACTATTTCTTTGTGCTGTTACTGTATGCTCAGTGCTTTGAAGGCATTATCTTAATTTTCCCCCAAAATCCTAGGAACTAGTAGGTTATTGTTACCACGCCCTAGATAGAAAGCTAAGGCACAGATGTTGGACCTGCATAGAAACACTGGAAATGGTCTGAACACAGGCAGCATGCCCCAGAGCTTGTGCTTTTAACCTGCCCCTTTGTTCCCGAGGCCCCCCACCCAACCCCCACCACTCATACTTTCCTTGATGAGCTTCACTGCTGTTATCTCTGTCATTTTCTCCAAAAATCCTTATAACATGGTTGTGAAGATTGTAGTCAAACTTTTTGAGGTCACTGAGTGGCAGCTCCAGTGTCTGGCCCCAGGGAGATGAGGGGTGCCCTGCAACTCAGTCCTGTCAGCACACCTGCTATGCCTATTACACCACCATCATGCCCTCTCCTCTACCAGACAGTTTATCAAGTGTAGGTACCAAGTTTTACTTCCATCCCCTGGGTCTGTTGGCTGGGATTGGTACTATTGGGATTGAAGAGAATCACAATTGACTGCCTGAGGGAAAAGATGGGAATTAACATCTTCCTACTTCCTCCTAAAAAGCTGTGGAACAAGACAGAGCAATGGGCAGGGGTCATCAGGATTCTGTTCAGCCTTTGCCTGCAGGGAGAACATGGAGCTCCTGGTTTACTTGGAAGTCCTGACAATTTCTTTGAGTGTTGGAGACTTTTTATGAAATCCAAGGACCGTGGCCCATCTAGGTCACCTGGTGACTGCAGGGATGATGTGGAAAAAGGTAGACAAGCATGGAGGGGTTCGAGCTGATCTTGCCAAGGCCCCTCACTTTTCATGGTCTTAGTCTCTTCATTTCAGAAATGAGGGGGCTGTACCATATCATCTCCCAGGCCCCTCCTCCCTCCTTCCCTTATTTACAGAAGGTCACAGAAGGTTAAAACCCATATGCTGATGGGAGAACTTTGACCACAGTAACTTCAAAAGTTGTGGCACAAGTTGTTTCTAAATGTTCCACAAACAGGCTCAGTGATCACAGAGTTTGAGAAGGGTAAACTTAAAGCTAAACAGATGTATGTACTGCTGGATTTTATGTCTATTTTTTTAATATCACACTTGATTTTTTATTATAAAAGTAATAAAAGGGCTATAAAACAATTCAAATAATATCTAAATCTATAAAAAGTACAAGCCTCCCTCATCCCCCCCAGTGCTCCCCGGAGGCTATCATTCTTAATAATTTGGTATACATCCTTTTAGAATGTTTATTTTACTGTATTACATAAAAAGCATGTATGCACACATAGGATTTGGGTTTTTTAATAGGATATTAGTCATGTTCAGAAATGTGACTCGGTTTTTACTTAACAGCATGTCTAGGAGATGTTTTTGTAATAGTATGTAGTGGTCTATATTACCTTTTTTAACAGCTGATTACTGTTCCTGAATGCATTTAACTATCCCCCAACTGAAAATTATTTGGGATTTTTCTTTTTATTTTACTCTTTTAAGCATTCCAGTGTGTGTTGTGACCTTCCAAGTAGACAATATAGTATGCTGTGTTTTCAAAGCTCTCCTTTAATCACTGAACAATTTTTTCGGCCTAGTAATCTCAGGAACACCAATAATTCTTGAAATAGCACTTAGAAAACACACGTTGGCCTTTTAGTTTTTACCTTAATGGGCATTGAGAGTCTAACCCCAATGGCTTTAAGATGGAGAAAGTTCAGTGGAATCTTCTAGAAACAGAGACGTGGCAGCCAGGTGCTAAGAACACTGATGCCCTGGGCCTAGGCAAGCAGAGGGCAAGTCCTGGATCCTTCATCATCCAGGACGCTGTTGTGGGGGAGGGTAGCACTAAGGGGGTAAGAGGGAAAACCCCTGAGAGGCAGGAACAAACAGTTTTTGCCACCATCAGAAATTTTCTTTTTCTGGATCTAGCCTTGACTAAGCTTTTCAATGCAATTAAATGGCATGTGGTAGGGAAAAATAAGAGATTTACATTTCTGATCTTTGACATCATAATTTTTCCATTTTTCTTGGCTGGTCAATAAGAAATATGGCTGGAGCTTAGTTTTCTATGTCTTTTAAGTTCTGTTTGAGAAAAGAGTGAATGTATCTGCACAGAGCATGCTGCCTTTGGGATTGCTTTGCTGTGGGCCGTTGGTGACCTCTTCTGTGTTGGGTTTCATTGCTTGTCATCATTACTATGTCTGGTAGTGATTCAGAAATGCTCATTTATTTTCAAACAGAGATGTGCTGAAATGCCCAGTGTTACAGTTCAGTTAGTCTGTTTTTGCTAAAGTCCCAAATCCACCTTCTGAGAGTCTGCAAGATTCGGCTGTGTGTTGGTTTGTGGGACTTTGCAGTTTGTTCAAGTATCCTCCAAATAGCATGAGCCAGCAAGATAGGTCCAGACAAAAGTGAGAGAAGTCTGTTATTTCTTTGCTTTTAAGTATTCCAAAGTTTGATTTGAAAGACATTAGTTTTAGAAAAGAATCACTATCAATTCTGATACTGATGTGTCTCATCATTTATATAACTTGTTGAAATTCACATGATTCTTAGAAGTGCAAGTCAGCTTCTCAAGCAGTCATTTACAGGGTGTCCTTAGTATATTATGACTGGCTGGTTCATCTTAATCCCCACTTTCTCTATCCTTTATTCTTCAAACATTCTCACGCCTACTCTAAGCCAGATTCTATGTTAGGTACTAGGGATGGAGGAAAAGAAGATTCATTTCCTGTTGATGAAATTCAAAGTCCAGTTTGGGAGCCAGAGGAGTAAATGTACTATTATAAGTGCTAAAAGAGAGCTATGCATATTTATTCATTCCTTAAGTATTTACTAACTAACTATAATATGCCAGCTATACATCGACTTTATACGAATATTGTGATAAATGAAACTAGGTTCCCTTGGAGTTTACATGTCTTTGGAGTTCTGCTCAAATGACAAATATTGGAGAGGCCTTCCTTGTCACTGTATGATGAGCACCCCTCATCATTGTCTATCCCTTTAACTCTATTTAGATAATTTTATCATTATCTGATGTGTTATCTACATATTTGTTGATTGCCTATCCACAAGGCTAGAGACTTTCTTTACTGCTGTATCCTCAGTAACCAGCACCAAGCAGGTACTAAATAATAGTGAATAAATTAACAATGAATGGAGAAAGGCAACAAACACAGAAAAGTGAGCAAGAAAAACGTCAGGTGGTGGTAAGTGTTGGGTAGAAAATTAAAACGGGTATGATAGGAGAATGATTTGATGACCGCTTTAGATGGGTATGCTAAGGAGATCACACGTAAACCAAGATTCGAATGATGCCCAGTGCTCAGCACTGTGATGTGAGAAGGAAGAACACTCCTGGACAAGGGAAAGGCAGTGCAAAAACCTTAAAGGGACAATAGCTTTGGTTGAAAGAGCTCCAAAGAAGTTCATTTGGCTGTCTGTAGTAAGGGGAGGCAAAGGTAGAGGTAGTATGGGACGAGGTTGTGAGGGTAACCGGAGACCAAGGGAAG